CCCCAAAACCCCAAAACCCCAACAGTGGCTTAACTACTATTTATTTGTCAGAACAAATAAAATTTCGGTATATTAAAATTTAAGTTATAAGCAAAAGCACTTTAAAAATCAATATTTTACAGGTGCTTTATTTATCAGTTTGTTCGAATATCAGAATATTATCTCATATCCTGGAAATTTTACAGAATTCATATCTTCCTATAATGCTTATGAGTATAAAACTAGTTAGCCCCCGATTCCCTCCATCAAGCTATAGGGACAATCAGGAACTCCTGGAATAATTCTTCCTTAATCATCATAATCGGCGCATATTTATTAGATATCTGAGTCGAAGGTTGCTTTTATAAAAATCAAGGATCTATTTAGCCATTTTTCATCATTAGTTAACCTATAAATGCTATGAAGAGCATATGCATTTCCACTGATTCCATGGCAAATACCGTTTCCTTTTTTAAGTAATCCTTTTTCCCAAATAAGCTCCCCTGCTCTAAATAAGGAATCCAAGTATTTCTGCTCTTTGAAAGTTTAATAAGCACTCACAAGAAATGAAGAAGCTCCAGTTGATCCATGACAAAAATGAACTAGAATATCATCTTTCTTCCCTAAGCTGGAAGGGAAATTGCCAGACTCAAGCTACATCTCAACAACGAATTCGCAACTATTCTTAATTATTAGCATTAGATTTTTGTCAGATTTCAAGTCAGGAATAATATTCACTGCCTGTAACAATATCTGAAGAACTCCTATAAGGCCATGTGCACCTCCCATATAAAACTTTTTCTCCTTTCTATCTCTAGGCCATTTAATTAGTATGTATTCATCGCTCTGGCTCCATTAAGTTCCATCCATAAGCAGAGTGTCTATGATTTTGTGGACTCTTTTAAGAGCTCTTTCATTTTTAGCATCTATTTTAGATATAACTTCTAGAAGGCAATAGAGGTACCCTGATATTCCATATAAAATCTCATCCTCAGCGTACTCACCAAGATCATTCTCAAACACATAATAATGCTCAAGCAGTTTATCTAGCATTCTCTCTTGTTCCTTTTGATTTTTCTACTCGTGATAGTGTAATGCTCCAATTGTGTATAGTCCTGCTACAGATTAGAAAAATGAAGGATTTTTCAATCCTTTCTTGCATCGTCCCTCTTCAATCATCTTGATATTTAACTCTAAAGATTCTTGAAATCTTAGACTAACATGCTCGAGGAGGTCTTTTTATTCTTTGACTAAATTAAGGTATTTCATTATTTGGTAATAAGTGTAAACTACACCACCTGAGCCTGTGTAAATTGAGGTGTCTGTGTTTTGCTTATTATCACTAAAGACTCTTCTCAAACTTATGGTCTCATATTAATCATCGAATGTCTTAAACACTGATTGGGATATTTTAATTGCTATTTATTCTTACATTTCATAAAATGTGGAAATATCTCAGCTCTGACTGCTTTCGAATCAATTTTGTCGCTGAAGTTGTTTTCTATATATCTCTTTTTGTGCATGAATTTAAATTCAATTATTAATTTAGTTTTTGCAATATATTACATTGACGGGGTTTTGGGGTTTTGGGGTTTTGG